AGAAGCTCTTTACGGTCATAAGATAAGTGGAAGAAACGTTATGTACAAAATAAGTTACAAATAACGTGATAAAAACACACACAATAGGTATTCACACATAGGTGATCGGCAATGAATAAGCTGCCGCGGTTCCCGAGGTTTTAAAGCAATTTGGGGATTTTTAGCATAAAAACTACCACAATCATTGAGAATAAATATTAGATGACAAAAAAATATTTGAAAATGTATATATCATTTAATTTTTTATTTTGGCTTTTCATAACAGCTATTTTGATGGATTATTGCCACTGTATAGCTACAACCTTCAGCTTTTGGAGCAAAAGCTTTATTAAAGTCTTTAAGGCCTATATTGGAATACATAGTAGTGGAGATGTTTATGGCGAAAGAAGTTCAAGTGTTTTGAACCATTCACAAACAAACTGAACACTCCAGGGTTGGATGGCATCACAGTCGAGGTATACCAAACCTTTTTTGATATACTAAGAAGACCGTTATTAGCATGTTTTAACCACTCCAATGTAAATGGTAGATTACCTGACACTCAAGAAGAAGGTCTGATCTCATTATTACTGAAACAGGATACAAGTGGAAAATATAAAGATCCAGTCCATTTACAAAATTGGAGGCCCCTTACACTTCAGTGTTGTGATGCAAAAATCCTAGCAAAATGTATAGCGCATAGAATTAAAAAGGTATTGTCGGATATTATTCATTCTAATCAGACAGGTTTTTTACATGGAAGATACATTGGAGATAATATAAGGCAAGTATTGGAAACAATAGAACACTATGGAAAATATGGGAAACCAGGCCTGCTATTCATAGCAGACTTCGAAAAGGCATTTGATAAAGTTCGACTGGGGTTTATATATAAATGCCTGGAGCATTTCAATTTTGGAGAATCTCTTATAAAATGGGTCAAAATCATCTATAGTAACCCTAGGTGTAAAATAGTAAATAATGGCTATTTCTCAGAAAGTATTAAACTGTCAAGAGGAGTGAAACAAGGTTGGCCACTATCGGCATATCTATTTATTGTGGCCATCGAGATGTTAGCTATTAAAATCAGATCCAATAATAATATCAGAGGATTAGAAATACAGGGCTTAAAAACAAAGGTGTCATTGTACGCTGATGATTCATGTTTTCTTTTAAATCCACAACTAGAATCCCTCCACAGCCTCATATAGGATCTAGATACATTTTCTAACCTCTCTGGATTACAACCAAATTATGACAAATGTACTATATTACGTATTGGATCACTAAAAAATAAAATGTTTACATTACCTTGTAGTTTACCAATAAAATGGTCTGATGGTGATGTGGATATACTCGGAATACATATCCCAAAGGAAATAAATGATCTCACTTCAATAAATTTTAATAGAAAGTAAGCAAAAATAGATAAGATCTTACTACCATGGAAAGGAAAATACCTGTCAATTTGTGGAAAAATCACCCTGATTAACTCTTTAGTATTATCCCAGTTTACCTATTTGCTTATGGGCTTGCCTACGCCTAGCGAACAGTTTTTTAAATTATATGAGAAAAAAATATTCAATTGTATTTGGAACGGCAAGCCAGACAAAATTAAAAGAGCATATTTATATAATGAATATGAATTCGGAGGACAGAAATTATTAAATATTAAAGCATTAGACCTATCACTAAAAGCTTCAGTCATACAAAAGTTATACTTAAATCCGAACTGGTTCTCAAGCAAATTAGTAAGATTGTCTCACCCAATGTTCAAGAAAGGCCTTTTTCCCTTTATTCAGATTACAACCTCTCACTTTCAGTTATTTGAAAAGGAAATAATCTCCCAAATGTCACTATTTCTAAAACAAGCCATAGAAAGTTGGTTGCAATTTCAATTTAATCCTCCAGAACAAATAATGCAACAAATATTGTGGTTAAATTCAAATATACTAATTGACAAAAAACCTTTATTTTTTGACAGAATGTTTAAAAAAGGTATAATCTTCGTAAATGATATCATCGGTAGGACTGGTGGAGTTATGTCGCACATGCAGCTAACAAAAACATATGGAAATGTCTGCTCTACCCAAAATTACAACCAAATAATTGCAGCCTTACCGCAAAAGTGGAAGAGGAAAGTGGAAGGGGGAGAAAGTAAGGAACTTGTCTGTCGGCCTTGCATTAAAGAACATAATTGGTTAAGGAAAACTGTGATAAATAAAAAAGTATATCAGTTTCACTTAAGGACCAAAGGATTGACAGCCGTCCCATATAGATTGCAAAATAGTTGGGAAGAGATCTTTGACGTACCGATCCCATGGCATAGTGTTTATGAACTGACACGCAAAACGACACCGGATTCAAAAATTGAATCTTTCAATTTAAATTATTATATAAAATTCTTGCTACCAATAGAATGTTATTTATATGGGGGATACAATCTTCCCAGCTCTGCAGATTTTGCTGTGAAGAGACAGAATCATTAGATCATTTGTTTTGGTTCTGTCCATTTGTAGCTTGTTTTTGGACACAGGTCCAGGAATGGCTAAAGGATTGCACTATTTACCTGGAGCTAACCTTGCAGATAGCACTACTGGGTGATCTGAAAAGTCATAGTCAATCAATCAATAATATAATAATACTTTTAGCAAAAATGTTTATTTTTAATTCACAATCTGTAGAAGCAATGAGAATAGAAAGGTTCAGAACTTTTGTAAAACATCACAGTACGGTTGAAATATATATGGCAAATAGAAATCCTATATGGATGGTGTTAAGAGATAGATGGGAGGTATTGAATAGAGTTGAAGGATGGGACTAATAACAAATAACAACAAATAATAACAAAGATAGCTAATAATGTAAGCATACTGTGTCCATAATAAGTATATAGGTTGTATGTTGGGAGCTTTTGGGAAAGAGCACAGTTAGAAAGATATGGCATATAGAAGCAAACCGGATGGACATCATGAAAATGATCGGAGAGGTTGAGAGTAGAAGAAGTTCAGGAGCAAAAAAAAAAAGAATATATATATATATATATATATATATATATATAATAGAATTATTGTAAAATTAACTGTGTCCATAAGGTGTAGATAGTAAGTATAGGCTGGAAGTAGAGGCCTGGGCATTGTTGTTCACTAATTTACTCCAAGTAGGGAAAGGATGGCGGGGTTGAAAAGTAATAAAGGGGAGTATATATATAAAAAACATGGGGGATTGGAAGTGATGCAGACAATTACATTGATAGAAGATACAATCTATCTGCAATATTAAGCTGATCCATTCCCCCCCCCAAAATAAAAATAAAAATAAAAAATAAAATAAAATATAATAAAAATAAAACAATTTTAAAAAACATACAAAAAAAAAAAAAAATACAGAACACGTGTTAGTACTAGATCACACCAACCTCATGTCTGTTATATTGTCTGGTTGAACTGGAGGATCCCATAGAGGATCTGTTATATTGTCTGGTTGAACTGGAGGATCATAGAGGATCTGTTATATTGTCTGGTTGAACTGGAGGATCCATAGAGGATCTGTTATATTGTCTGTTGAACTGGAGGATCCCATAGAGGATCGTATATTGTTGGTTGAACGGAGGATCCCAAGAGGATCTGTAATATGTCTGGTTTGAACTGGAGGATTCCATAGAGGATCTGTTATATTGTCTGGTTGAAATGGAGGATCCATAGAGGATTGTTATATTTCTGTTGAACTGGAGGATCCATAGAGGATCTGTTATATTGTCTGGTTGAACTGGAGGATCCCATAGAGGATCTGTTATATTGTCTAGATGAACTGGAGGATCCCATAGAGGATCTGTTATATTGTCTGGTTGAACTGGAGGATCCCATAGAGGATCTGTTATATTGTCTGGTTGAACTGGAGGATCCCATAGAGGATCTGTTATATTGTCTGGTTGAACTGGAGGATCCCATAGAGGATCTGTTATATTGTCTGGTTGAACTGGAGGATCCCATAGAGGATCTGTTATATTGTCTGGTTGAACTGGAGGATCCATAGAGGATCTGTTATATTGTCTGGTTGAACTGGAGGATCCCATAGAGGATCTGTTATATTGTCTAGATGAACTGGAGGTAGTTATACTACCTCTCGCAATGCACACACAGACGCACGCACACAGATACACACACACGCACACTAACACACACACACACACACTCACAGAAGCACATACACACCACAAACACACACAAGGCTTTGACGGGATATCGATAGACAGACAGACAGACAGACAGACAGACAGACAGACAGACAGACAGACAGACAGACAGACAGACAGACAGACAGACAGACAGACAGACAGAGGGCCTTGCCCCCAACCCACTAGCTCACACGTACACTCCGCCTGCCTCCTCTCTGACTCCTGGCTCAATACAGGTTTCAAGTTAAGAGCCACTTGTCTAAACAGAGAAGACATCAGAGAGCCGAGGAAAATATAAGATACAAAAGAAGTCAATCTTGTTTCTTGGGCAAGAAGATAAAACGTTTTGGGGTCTTGGAGAATGAGAGAAGATTATCTTGATGAGGGAAGATTATCTTAAATCAAAGGGAGGAGAGGGAGAGGGGGAAGATTCCACAGTTAAGGGAGGAGAGGGACAGGGGGAGGATTCCACAGTAAAGGGAGGAGAGAGAGAGTGGGAGGATTCCACAGTAATATTACGACCCTGTTCCTGGAGAGCTACCCTCCTGTAGGTTTTAACTCCAACCCTGTTCCTGGAGAGCTACCCTCCTGTAGGTTTTCACTCCAACCCTGTTCCCGGAGAGCTACCCTCCTGTAGGTTTTAACTCCAACCCTGTTCCTGGAGAGCTACCCTCCTGTAGGTTTTAACTCCAACCCTTTTCCTGGAGAGCTACCCTCCTGTAGGTTTTAACTCCAACCCTGTTCCTGGAGAGCTACCCTCCTGTAGGTTTTTAACTACAACCCTGTTCCTGAATAGAATAATATAATCTAATAGAACGTCTATGTGTTTCTATATCTAACAGGCACCAAGGAGGTAAACGCCACAGGGAAGTCGTTCACAGTGAAGAGCGCTCTGCAGCTGCAGGTGGATCAGAGCGATGACGGGGTGGCCTACACGTGCAGTGTGGAGCACGTGTCTCTCGCTTCCAACCCTTACCAGGTCACAGAGGTCCTGGAGGTCCACTGTGAGTTCTGGAACCTGAGCAACATAACCAAATAACTAGGGATCAGATGATCGTACCCCTCGATTCTACCATTTCTATTCAATTGAATATTAACTCAACCACAGATCTGGGGTTCAGGATGTTTCAGTCACTGTCACACTAGCATGGATGATGTTTTCATAATGTGTTCTTGTCTCTCGTCCCAGATGCCCCCCATGTGGAGATCTCCCACACCATGATCATCCCTCAGGAAGGACAGTACTTTAAACTGGAGTGTGTCTCCAAAGGAAACCCACTGTAAGTACATGGTATATCACCTAATTATGGATGTATACAGTATATTCTATAGATAGACCTCTAACATGTAATCTGATGATACTAGCAACGCTACATATACAGCAGTATGTAGACACCCCTTCAAATTAGTAGATTCAGCTATTTCAGCCACACCCGTTGCTGACAGGTGTATAAAATCGAGCACACAGCCATGCAATCTCCATAGATAGACATTAGCAGGAGAATGGCCCGTACTGAAGAGCTCAGTGACTTTCAATGTGGCACCGTCAAAGGATGCCACCATTCCAAGAAGACAGTGGGTCAAATTTCTGCCCTGGTAGAGCTGCCCCCGGTCAACTGTAAGTGCTGTTATTGTGAAGTGGAAACGTCTAGGAGCAACAACGGCTCAGCCATGAAGTGGTAGGCCACACAAGCTAACAGACCGCCAAGTGCTGAAACACATAATGCGTAAAAATCATCTGTCCTTGGTTGCAACACTCACTACCGAGTTCCAAACTGCCTTTGGAATCAACTTCAGCACAAGAACTGTTCGTCAGGAGCTTAATGAAATGGGTTTCCATGGCCGAGCAGCCGCACACAAGCCTAAGATCACCATGTGCAATGCCAAGCATAGGCTGGAGTGGTGTAAAGCTCGCCGCCATTGGACTCTGGAGCAGTGGAAACGCGTCCTCTGGAGTGATGAATCACGCTTCACCATCTGGCAGTCCGAGGGACGAACCTGGGTTTGGCGGATGCCAGGAGAACGCTACCTGCCCCGAGTGCATAGTGCCAACTGTAAAGTTTGGTGGAGGAATAATGGTCTGGGGCTGTTTTTCATGGTTCGGGCTAGAAATCTTAACACTACATCATACAATTACGTTATACACAATTCTGTGCTTCCAACTTTGTGGCAACAGTTTGGGGAAGGCCCTTCCTGTTTTAGCATGACAATGCCCCCATGCACAAAGCGCGGTCCGTATAGAAATGGTTTGTCGAGATCGTGTCGAAGAACTTGACTGGCCTAAACAGAGCCCTGAGCTCAACTCCAACGAACACCTTTAGGATGAATTGGAACGCCGACTGCGAGCCAGGCCTAATCGCCCAACATCAGTGCCCGACCTCACTAATGCTCTTGTGGCTGAATGGAAGCAAGTCCCCGCAGCAATGTTCAATATTCAATTTACGATCTGTAGAAACAATGAGAATAGAAAGGTTCAGAACTTTTGTAAAACATCACAGTACAGTTGAAAAATATATGGCAAATAGAAATCCAATATGGATGGTGTTAAGAGATAGATGGGAGGTGTTGAATGGAGCTGAAGGATGGGACTAATAACAACAACTAATAACAACAAGATAACTAATGTAAAGCATACTGTGTCCATAATAAGTATATAGGTTATAGGTTGAGAGCTTTTGTGAAAGAGCACAGTTAGAAAAATATGGCATATAGAAGCAAACCAGATGGACATCATGAAAATGATCGGAGGAAGTTCAGGAGTAAAAACAAACAAAATATAATTATTGTAGAATTTGACTGTGTCCATGAAATGTATATAGTATGAATGGGCTGGAAGTAGAGGCCTAAGCGTTGTTGTTCACTAGTTCACTCCAATTGGGGAAGGGGTGGTGGGGTTGGAAAGTAATGAAGGGAAATATAATTTTTAAAAGGATATGTTTGTGTGTATGGATGTATGTATATATATGTATGTGTGTATGTATGTGTATGTGTATGTGTATGTATATATATATATATATATGTGTATGTACTGTATGTATATATATATATTTGCGAGAAAAAAAACATATGGGGGATTGGAAGTGATGCAGACAATTACATTGATGGAAGTTACAATATATCTGAAATATTAAAACTGATCTACCCCCCCCCTCCCCCCACAAAAAAAATAAAAAATTAATTAATCAATACTTTTAACGGGATTCGTCAATAACTAACCCTATAACCCTGTGCTGTATACTAGAGTGTGCATCTAAATGCAACCACCAGTAAACAACTCTTCCCCAATTATAGATGTTAATGCACTAAACATAATTACCATTGTAAGAAAAGAGAAATCCATCTTTAATCATCACTATGCAAAGTATTCTACTCTCTGGAGAGGTTTGATGTGTTGTAATTATAGACACACACACACACACACACACACACACACAGACACACACACACAGACACGCACACACACACACACACTCACACACACACACACACACACACACACACACACAGACACGCACACGCACACACACACACACAGACACGCACACACACACACACACACACACACACACACACACACACAGACACGCACAAGCGCGTGCCCATGCAGGCACCATAATTCATAATGTTTCTCAAACACAGGGACATTTCTAAAGCTGTACACTTTAATGTATTGAATTATGTTTCTTGTTCTTCTTTTCCCGAAAAAAATAATGAAAGATAGTGTCTGTGAGGTCACAGAGGTCCCAAACGGAACCCTATTCCCTGGATTGTGCGCTACTTTTGACCAGAGGGCCCTGGTGGTCAAAAGTAGTACACGATTGTATTATGGGAATAGGGAACAGGGTGCCATTTGGGACGCTACCTCTGAGACAGAAATAATTGCAGCCCAATAGAAGGAAGAGACCTTTAGCTTCATACAGAAATAATGAGTTGGACTCTGTTGAAATAAGCAACAGAAACCCAGAAGATTGGGAGGAAATATTTTTTCCAGCACATAGGAGTACAACTTGGTTATTACACTGACATTGCCAAGTATTATTTTGTATAGCATTTGAGAATAAAGTTGAAATAAATTAAATGAAAACAGGGATTCTTGAAAGACGGGACAATATCTACCTTTTTATTCACAAATATTTTTCTTAATATTAATAACATTTGAAATATATATTTTGATAGACCAAAGTATCAGCTATCACATCATGTAAAGGAACAACCTCCTAATTAATACTTTTTTTTCATAAAATGCAACTAACTGAATTTATGTCAACTCCGTCAGACACCATAAAAGGCATTTCATTTGTACAATTATTAATGTATTAATTTATTGTCCAACGGGTGTTTTAAAGGCCTTGATTGTTTAATTCTAACATAATTAATACAAATCTCGAAACGTATTTTTGTTTAGGTTTATTATGCTATATAATGTTCCAGGGCTAATTTTGTTAGCATTTTGGCATGTTCTTTTAGATTCAGAACATAAAACAACATTTATAAAGCAAACAATGTCCCTTAGGTCCAGCGCAGCAAATACTTGAATAGTTTAAAGGTCCAGTGCAGTCAAAAAAGTGATTTTCCTGTGTTTTTTATATATTTCCACGCTATGAGGTTGGAATAATACTGTGAAATTGTGAAAATTATGATAATGCCCTTTCAGTGTAAGAGCTTATTTGAAAAGGTTGCCTGAAATTTCAGCCTGTTGTGGTGGGGATGGAACTTTGGCCAGACATCACCAGGTGGTAAATTAGTTAAAAGACCAATAAGAAAGAGAGTTCCAAACCTCTCTGCCAATAACAGCTAGTTTTCAGTTTTCCCCTCCCCTCTCAGAACACTCCCAGACAGTCCTAGAAAATTATTGCTTGATAAATTGCTCTTTGCTAAGAAGATATTTGTATTTATTTTTGACCATTGTAATTGAAAACAATCACAGTAAGCTACTTAATTGATACTCAGAAATGATTTGATATTGAGATAAAAATGGCTGCATTGGACGTTTAAAGGGATACTTCAGGATTTGGGCAATTTCCCCAGAGACAGATGAACAGGTGGATACCATTATTATGTCTCTGTGTCTAGTATGAAGGAAGTTAGAGGGAGTTCCGCGAGCCGATGCTACCTAGCGTTAGCGCAATGACTGGAAGTCTATGGGTATCTGTGCTAATGATAGTATGCAATTGCGCTGGTGCTAGTTAGCAACTTCCTTCAAACTGGACACAGAGATTTAAAAATGCTATCCCCAAGTTCATCTGATTCTGGGGAAGTACAGTGAGGGAAAAAAGTATTTGATCCCCTGCTTATTTTGTACGTTTGCCCACTGACAAAGAAATGATCAGTCTATAATTTTTATGGTAGGTTTATTTGAACAGTGAGAGACAGAATAACAACAAAAAAATCCAGAAAAACGCATGTCAAAAATGTTATAAATTGATTTGCATTTGAGAATTCGTCGGTGAGTGGGTAAAACTGCCTCTACCATCCATCCTATTGGCCAATGTGCAATCATTGGAGAATAAACTGGATGAGCTCCGTTCAAGACTATCCTACCAACGGGACATTAAAAACTGTAATATCTTGTGTTTCACAGAGTCGTGGCTGAACGACAACATTAATAATATACAGTTGGCTGGGATTTCCGTGCATCGGCAAGACAGAGCAGCTGTCAAAGGGTGGTGGTCTGTGTCTATTTGTCAATAGCAGCTGGTGCACAAAATCAAATATTAAGGAAGTCTCGAGGTTTTGCTCGCCTGAGGTAGAGTATCTCATGATAAGCTGTAGACCACACTATTTACCGAGAGAGTTTTCATCTATATTTTTCGTAGCTACCACCAGAAACCGATGCTGGCACTAAAACCACAGTCAACAAGCTGTATAAAGCCATAAGCAAACAAGAAAATGCTCATCCAGAGGCGGCGCTCCTAGTGACCGGGGACTTTAATGCAGGGAAACCTAAATACATTTTACCTCATTTCTACCAGCATGTTACATGTGTAACCAGAGGGGAAAAAAACTCTAGACCATCTTTACTCCACACACAGAGACGCATACAAAGCTCTCCCTCACCTTCCATTTGGCAAATCTGATCATAATTCTATCCTCCTGATTCCTGCTTACAAGCTAAAACTAAAACAGGAAGTACCAGTGACTCGCTCAATACGGAAGTGGTCAGATGACACAGATGCTAAGCTACAGGACTGTTTTGCTAGCACAGACTGGAATATGTTCCGGGATTCTTCCAATGGCAATGAGGAGTACACCACATCAGTCACTGGCTTCATCAATATGTGTAT